GTTCCGCCTTAGCCATGACATTACGGATATCCCTCGCCTTTTTGTGCGGATGAATGGCATCAGGAGTTGGATTGAAAGCAAAGACTAAAATAAAAAAATTAGAAACAATTCCCAAATAAGATATCATATGACACTTACACTCGCGAACACCTCCGGTCCCTCGTACCACAAGTACACAACAATGAGTGTCCTCTTGGGCGCCGTCACCGACACGACTCATAATGAGAGCGATCACACCCTTACCCCTCTTCAGGATTTTTCTGAAGTCCGTAGCGATATTCTGTGTGGACTCGGAGTACCTCCCGTTATAGTTCGCATCCTTCAGCTCATCCGGTTTCTGGCCAATGAATTTCGGATACAATTCAAATTCCGATTCAATTCTCAATTCAGACCACTGCGCCCTCAAATCGCTCCAGAAATTCAACTCGTATTGGAAGACAAGATGAGATTCTTTCTCATTGTTAAGACTAAAAAAACAACAATTAATATCATATTATTAAATAATTTATTTAATTACCTAAAGAATCCCAGAAACAAACAGAACTTGTCTGAAGCCCTGTTCTCACGGAACAACTCGTTGGCCAACCTCTGGAAGCTGTTGCCCTCGACCGCAATGTCCTCTACTTTCGATCGCGTCATAATGAAGTGAAGAAACCGTTTCCTCACTTCCTCTGGAGAGTACTTCTTCCGCAACTTCTTGAGCGCCGACCGAACACCTCTTTGCCGGACACGTGTATTGGCTGACCCGCTGTTGAGGTAAATGCCGCACATCTTCGCACACCTCCGAGCCTCGCGTGTGTCCAACAAGTGGTCGAACGGCTCTATTGTGTCAAACTCTGGTGGCCAGCCTTTCCAACGCACACTAAATCCCGGCCAACCATCGCCTTCCTCGTCATCCGTATCGATAACCCATTCAAAATCGTAAACCGCTTCCACACGATAGACATCCTCTCCCTCGGCATCCTTTCCCACCGGACCCGGATATTCACCATTCGGATCACTACCCATCTCAACAATCTCCCAGTCCTTCGTTCTGTAGTGTCCAGACGTGAACTGATAGCGATTCCGGTTCCGCCTGTCCTCTATCTCTTCCAACTTCTCGTACTCAACACTACCAGTGGTCCCTATTATGATAAATATCCAAAACTATGAGATTTGCCATTAAATTACACAAAAAATAATCACTTACACTTGGAGTTATTCCTCGTCTCCATGGCTGTGGTGAACGCATTTGTCGACTTCTTTGACTTCTTCGGCGGCATTTGTGTCCAAATTATTATTACTCTTATGATTATTATTATTATAAATATTGTTTTGAATTGAATGCAAACACAAACCAAACGATTGACTCAAACAATACAAAACATGTGATGTGTTTGGAGCCAAACACTTAAATACACGTCACGTGTTATACACATTGCATGCATTCATACACATAATACGTCAATTAATATCACAAGCCTAATAATTGTCCAGAACTTTTGTTACAACTCTGGGCCAGAGTTTCATTAGACCGAGATAATGATATGATGTAAAAGATTAGCTATACTGACCAAAAGATCACCTCCCAAAGGCTGGACCTAAGTTATGGACAGTTGTATAAAAATACTTAACACAATCGCATGCACTCTCTTATGTTAAACTGACCCTTAGACTATACACCGTTTGGTCCATACTTGGGTTCACTAGAGCTCGAGTTTGGGTTAAACTCATATTGTATTAGTTTTATATAACCATTGATTCAATAAATACAGTTATGTGCCTGATAATCGGCTAAATTCATTTACTAACGGCGTTCAGTCCTTATCAATTGGGGGCTCGTCCGGGATTGGGTTAAACTCATATTGTATTAGTTTTATATAACCATTGATTCAATAAATACAGTTATGTGCCTGATAATCGGCTAAATTCATTTACTAACGGCGTTCAGTCCTTATCAATATAAATACATAATAGTCACGGAGTCAATTAAACACTTACATTGAACATTAAATGATTCAAAACATTTTTATTTTCTTAATGCAACTTATTGGCAAATCATATAATTTCTAGATTTGTTGTTTAATAGCATAATATGAAATTATTTACAATATTTCAATTGTATTATTTTCTATTAATAATGAAATGAAAATAAAAATAGTTATCTTTAAAATATGTTTAACTGATAATTGCATCATGCTAATTTGGCAACAAAATATTACTTCTTCTGGGCTGATTGACCTTAAAACTAAAATGTCTACTTCATACAATATTAACTATAAATATTCAAGACATGTAATTAATGAAATTCAATTCGGGAAATACATTAATCAATGTTCCATAAGGACTAATGTATTTGTAATATTTAAATAGGACTATTAGAAACAGTTACTACCCTAGTTAATATTAATTTTATTTAATGGCCAAAAAATAATTGTAATCTTTTTTATAATCAAGAAAGTTGGATTTGTTTTTAAAATACTATTTTGTTTTTAATATTTTCATAATTTTCTTATTTTTAATAATTAAAAGCTTAGTTTGTTAATGCCTGTATATCCATATTTAAAAATAACAAATTTTACATATTACTTAATCCAGAACTAATTTAAGTAAAGGTAAATAAATATTTATATATTGGTGCTTAAAATTACATCGTAGGTATATATTGCAGCATCATGGTAGAATTAAACTAAAAACATTTCCCATAGAAACAAGGGTCGATTTAAAACTACACTGATGCATTGCATAATTTAGCCTTCGCCAAAAAAAGCTTATAATAAGCTTTTTGAATATAATTTCTTATTAAAAATTTAAAAAATGGAATTTTGCAAAACAGTACAGAATTTTCTAGAAAACATTATATGTGCATAAAATATCATAACCATTACAATTCATTTTTATTAATTTCAAAACAATTTGTCCTAAATGTCCTATTACAATTCATTTTTATAAATTTCAAAACAATTTGTCCTAAATGTCCTATTACAATTCATTTTTATAAATTTCAAAACAATTTTCCCTAAATATTTTTTATTAATCAATCAGAAATCTACCATGGTAACTGCGCCATTTAAGTTTGCAAAATAGAGGTTTTTTGCATTGAAAATACACTGGTTTTGTCTTAGAAAATGCATAGTAACAAAATTTGTATTTGTGAACTCCATTTATTATTAAACTACCCATGATAAAATTAATCCATTTAAAGTTTATTTGTAGTATTTGATCCTGATCATTCTCACGAAGACATTATGTCTCTACACCATTCTTAAGAGAATAAATCGTAATTGTTTGTACAGCAAAAACTATACTAGAGAAAATAAATCTGATACCTGGATCTCAAAGAGAATTTAAAATGAGCGAGTACCTATTTCAGGAATTTTTTTATTAACATTAAATTTCTTGGTGATTACAATTAAAAATGTGTAAATACGGCACAACTAAAACCTGAATCGTATGGCAAATGTGTATTTCTTTTGTGTACTCTTTACTTATCCTTTCAATAAAACAATTTCATTGAAACGTGTGTTTTCTTTAAGACATACCACGACTCCCAGACAACTCCGACCGCCCGTTAAGTGGTTGTTCCGAACTGACCTTAGCTTTGTCTGTCGCTACACTGTATATTACAACTACACCTACTCTATATTACATAGATAACTATTTAAAAATCTGCGCAAAAGTTAAAAATATAATTACCTACTGTACTGTACGTGTCTGTTACCAACGCTGACTAAGCAATTTCTACATAAATTTTTATACATGTATATAATAATAGGTTTTGTCATTTAAGTAGTATTATATAAAATTTTATTTTACACTTAACTTATTATTACAGTTATGTCTTATACGAGAGACTTCACGGGCAAAGTAGTGCTGATCACCGGCTCGAGCGCTGGTATGGGCGCACACATTGCCATAGAGTTTGCCCGCAACGGCGCGCAAGTGGTGGTCACCGGTCGGGACGCCCAACGAGTGGCAGATGTGGCCAAACAGTGTCGGGAAGTGTCGCCAAAAGGTCTGAAAGC